GAGACGGGGTTTCACCATGTTGACCAGGATGGTCTCGATCTCTTGACCTCGTGATCCACCCGCCTCGGCCTCCCAAAGTGCTGGGATTACAGGCTTGAGCCACCGCGCCCGGCCAGACCCGCCTTTTTAAAGATGGGAGGTCAGGAGGTGGAAGTGAAAGAGAAGATCCCATCTTACACAACACAGTGCCACGTGATGCAGACCACACTTTTCGATTCTGTCCTGCCGTTTTCAGAGGTCATTTCTCACATCCTAAGAACCTGATGAGAAATTTTGGAAAGATCCTTTGAAATAGCAGCGGTTGACACAGAGACGCTTTGCCACGGCATGGAACAGATTTTCTCACTGCTCTCACATGGTCTCGCAGTTTTGAACTCTTCGACCGATTTGTGGGGGTTTATGTAATTGTGTGCAAGGAACCTGAAATTGCATAAAGAACAAAAGACCAATTTATAGGGTTGTTATTTATTTTTTTCCAACTTGTGAAAAGCAGTTTAGCTGCATCTGGCTTCTTTTTTTCTCCCAGAGGATTATGTTACAATGTGATCAAGTGAAGGAAAAACCTGAGCCCATCTGGCTGGGATGGTGGAATTAAGCACAAGGTTACATTCTCTGTGATCACATGAGAGGGAATGTGATGACTTAAATGGTGGAGGCCGGGGCAGGGGGCAGTTATCTTGGGGAGAGGCTGAAAAGCACAAAGGAAGTCTTGCCTGTACACGTTGGTGAAGAATGCACACACTGGTCTCCAGGCTGGATGGACTTCAACTTGAAGTTGAGTTGAGGCAAGAGGATTTCGGGATGTTAGCCACCCACCTGCAAGAAAAATGTCGGGGCCTCGCGTCAAGATTTTGGCCTGAGACATGCTGATGCTTCAAGGAGAAATATTTTCACCATCCTTTCTTCCCTCACCAAAAGAAAACAGTACTCTGCCCTAGAAACCTCTAGGTAAAGACATTTTATCCTAATATTGGTGGCATATGATGGCCCCTCCCAATCTGTTCTCCATGCAAAAAAGTCTCGATAAGAATTCTGTGGAGCTGACTGGTTATTTCAAAGTGTCAGGAGGGTGGAGAAAGTAATTGACCACAGAAGGGCAAGAAGCTCTCTTAAGAAAAGGGAAGTTATCTTTAAAAAAACACCAGCACCACCACCATATCAACCAAAAACTACATTTTATGTCAAAGCTCTATAGCACAAAGAATGTGGTGTCATAGATACATTGCCAAGAGAGAAACTTCTACATGGACGAGGCAATTTCAGCGTCTTAGAGAGGCCAAACCATGACGTGGAGAATGAAATGGGAGACAGGATATCACCAGGAGCATCCCTCATAAAGCAGCACACATTTTCACGTTTCCACTTAAGTTGTTTTGCACAGTCTTGCTTCAGTCAGATGAGATGAGATATGATTTCCTAGAGATGTAAAAATAAAAATGAATGTGGTGCCCCTTTGTTCAGATGTAATAGAAAGCTTCACCCTATTACAAGGGGTGGGGTTTAAGTGCCCCTTGCATTTTAACCGTGTTTAACTGAGCACAAGATGCACGAGCTATGACGGGAAAGCCTCCGTTTACCTTTGGAGTCTTCCCTGTAGATCACAGACCTGTTTCCAGGCTGATGTTTCTGGTGTGTAATTGCTAGTGTTTCTGAAGGTTTCCCCAATTGTTTTAGCCTTGTGAAGTATTCTTTTCTTAATTATAATTTGCCTTTCAGCAGTGGTACATGACCTGGTTCAATGTTTGGTTTTGAACTTATACACTGATGTGTTTACTCATCTAAACATAATCTGACAAGGCCTCATTAGGGAGCCATACATTTTTGTAACAATTTGATATGTCTTAATGCACCTGACTTAGATCTTCTTGAAATAAAGCACTTTTCAAAGAGATGCCCCCCATGGATGGGTCTGTGTGTGACTGCTGGGTGCAGGAGCTCTGTGTTGTGAGAGGGTGGCTGTAAAGTTGGGGGCAGGAACAGGAAGGAGCACCCACTAGGTAAGTTAATTTTTTTCCTCCAGTTTATGGTTTGAACATGCTTGGGGCTGGCTGTTTGTCCAAAATAGGACGTGAAATAAGAGGTTTGTCTTAGAAGCTCCCAGTTGAGGGGCTCTGGAGAGCCAGGAGTTGAGGAAGAAAGAGCTTGGAACTTCTACTCAGTGACGCTGGCTTTCCACTCTGACTCCATTACTGGCTCTCGGACCCTGGGACCGGCTCAGTGAGCCATTCTCTAGGACTTGGTTTTCTCATTTGTAAAATGGCCAAGCCACGCTGCAGGGGCTGGGCACCTGGGCTTGCTTCTGTTGGAAGCATCCCCCGATGGCTCCCCAGTTGTGGGATTTTTAGACTAGGGCCCAAGTTTCACCCTATGGTATGGGGGGGATAGCATATGTAATTTTATATGTCAACTTGGCTAGGCCATGGAGCCCAGATATTTGGTCAAACATTAGTCTAGATGTTACTGTGAATCTGTTTTTTTTTTTAAGTTGAGATTAACATTTAAATCAGTAGACTTTGAGCAGACTGCCCTCCATAATGTGGGTGGGCCTCACCCAATCGGTTGAAGGCCTGAAGAAAAAAGACTGAGATCCCAGAGCAGAAGGAATTCTGCCTCAAGACTGCCTTTGAACTTGAACAACATGAATTGTGTGAACCGGTTCCTTACGCTCTGTCTCCTCACACCTCCACCTCTCTCTCTCTCTCTCCACACACACACACCCCTTTGGAGAACCCTGACTAATACACAGAAATTACTTCATTGGTTCATAAAGTTTAATATGTGATTTGACAGTGTCTACCTAAGAAATCTGGCCATGGAGCATAAATAGTGACCATCGTAATTTGGCCTCTAGAAGAAGGTAACAACCAAGACAAGATTTTTAATGATGCTTCTGTAAATAATGCATATGTAAGTAGACAGAGAAATGGGGAAGTGGGGAGAGAGAGACAAAAATAAAGTTTGGATACATCACAGTTCCCTTTGAGTGTTGTTTTGATTTCCCATATTTAGAGTTTTTAATTCAAAGATAGCTTTTTAGTTGCTGCATTGACTAAGTTGGGTGAAACAGATGAGCAGGCAGTTACCCTCCAAAGTAGTGAGACTTTTGTATAGCTCATCATGTAGATGTAGGTGATATAGACTGAAGATAAATGGTTCATTTGGGTTCCAACCAAGACTCCCCAAAAGGCAGTAAGCCTTGTAGGAGTTACAGTGCCTAAAATCACCCAAACAATTCTAATAGCCTTCTGCCAAAGGTGCTGGCAGTTCTTGGCTTGTTTTA